CCCACTTTTGGATCAAGAACCACTTTTGGACCAAGAACCACTTTTGGACCAAGAACCACTTTAGGACCAAGAACCACGTTTGGACCAAGAGCCCCTTTTGGACCAAGAACCACTTTTGGACCAAGAACCACTTTAGGACTAGGGATGTAAAAAACTATGAATTTTTATGACCGACCAGCAAGCCTCATTAACCGGTTGAAACCGGTTAACCGCGTTGTAAAAATATTTCACGTTCTTTGAAATAACAGACATTTCGAGCCGCGTACTTTTCATAAGTGCAGCTCTGCATTCTACTGGATCAGAGCTGAGACAGCGGCGACCAAAACCCGCAAAAGCTTCGGCACCTTTGCGCACAGAGAACAGCTGTTTTAATCTTCCCATTCTTCTGTGCTGCGGGTTAAAACCAAAACTTTTTAGCAGCAAACAACGGGTCGTTCACATGGTTAGAGCAGCGAGTGACGAGCCCCGTCTCGCAGGTCTTCGCTAAAGTTTAAGTACAAGTGATGTGTGTGGAGCTGATCTAATGACAAGGACCATAAACACAAACATGTTCCATATGGTTTGACTGGAGCCACGTATTTGCAAGGATCCTTTGGGCTGTGTGACACAGAGGAGCGCAACAGACCGGTATGTGTGTGTGTACAATACATGTATGTGTGTGTGTGTAAATGTAAGCTCCAATGTCGTTCTGACCCGCGCCAGTGTGCAACTTGCTGATGATAAGTCTGGATGTTACGTATGGAGAGGGGGAAGTGTGTGTGTGTGTGTGTGTGTGCACGCGCGTGCAAGTGTGCGTGCATATGTGGCACTTGCGGCATGAAAGTCGGCTCGGAGTTCACTAATACATGGGCGCACACAGCTAGAGACAGACTCGCTCGTCACATCGTGCAAATGGGGCTTAAAATAGCGTTATTAAGAGACGTCCCCTCTCCCCCTTTTCTTTTTTTAACCGACAGCTTTGGCCGGTTAACGCTGTCACGGTCAACCACCGGTTAAACGGTCACCAATTTACATCCCTATTTAGGACCAAGAACCACGTTTAGGCCAAGAGCCACTTTTGGACCAAGAGCCACTTTTGGACCAAGAACCACATTTGGACCCTCCTGTAAAGCTGTTTTCCAGAGGATAGAAGGCGCTATACAAAAGCATTGGGTGATTCTCTTTCCGGGTCCAGCCCCACCGGGGGGAGTGAGATTGCAGCATGTCAGTGCACGTGCTCATGCACCTTTTGGACTGGTTTGGACACAGGACCTGGGACTAAATAAGTCATCTTCTTCCCTTTCAGAGTTGGGTCATGCAGAGTACACTGAACATTCACTTTCTTCATCCTTTTGCACTAAATGACTTTTCTTTGTAATTAATCTGTGCCTGAAATAAATAAATGAATGAATAAATGAATAAATACATGAATAAATGAATGAACAAATGAATGAATAAATGAATGAACAAATGAATGAATAAATAAATACATTAATAAACACATACATACATGAATGAATGAATGAATAAATAAATAAATACATGAACGAATGAATGAATGAACAAATGAAACGATGTCCGTGTGTGACTCACGATGCCGTTGGACATGAGGTGATGCCAGTGCAGCTTCCTCCCGCTGTGGTTCTTCTTGTAGAAGTCCTCCACCTCCGGGATGAGGTCCTCCAACTCCGTGGGCAGCTACACAAACACCTTCTCACTGCTGCGCGACCACGCCCCAGCGTTCAGGATCTTTATGTTCACAGAGTCGGCTGCACACACAGAACACACACCTGTCACTTTACATAATATACATGTACATATATATATATGTACATATATAAAATACACACACACAGGACAGATACCTGTCACTTTACATGATATACAATGTATACATATACAGTGCATTTGCGAAAGTATTTGGCCCCCTTGAACCTTTCAACATTTCGCCACATTTCAGGCTTCAAACATAAAGATATACAAATTAAATTGTTTGTCAAGAATCAACAACAAGTGGGACACAATCGTGAAGTGGAACGAAATTTATTGGATAATTTAAACTTTAACAAATAAAAAACTGAAAAGTGGGGCGTGCAATATTATTCGGCCCCCTTGCGCTAATACTTTGTAGCGCCACCTTTTGCTGCAATTACAGCTGCAAGGCGCTTGGGGTATGTCTCTATCAGTTTTGCACATCGAGAGACTGGAATTCTTGCCCATTCTTCCTTGCAAAACAGCTCGAGCTCGGTGAGGTTGGATGGAGAGTGTTTGTGAACAGCAGTCTTCAGCTCTTTCCACAGATTCTCGATTGGATTCAGTTCTGGACTTTGACTTGGCCATTCTAACACCTGGATACGTCTATTTGTGAACAATTCCATTGTAGATTTGGCTTTATGTTTTGGATCATTGTCCTGTTGGAAGATAAATCTCCGTCCCAGTCTCAGGTCTTTTGCAGACTCCAACAGGTTTTCTTCCAGAATGGTCCTGTATTTGGCTCCATCCATCTTCCCATCAATTTTAGCCATCTTCCCTGTCCCTGCTGAAGAAAAGCAGGCCCAAACCATGATGCTGCCACCACCATGTTTGACAGTGGGGATGGTGTGTTCAGGGTGATGAGCTGTGTTGCTTTTACGCCAAACATATCGTTTTGCATTGTGGCCAAAAAGTTCGATTTTTGTTTCATCTGACCAGAGCACCTTCTTCCACATGTTTGGTGTGTCTCCCAGGTGGCTTGTGGCAAACTTTAAATGAGACTCTTATGGATATCTTTGAGAAATGGCTTTCTTCTTGCCACCCTTCCATAAAAGGCCAGATTTGTGCAGTGCACGACTGATTGTTGTCCTATGGACAGACTCTCCTGTAGTTATCTGCAGTTCATCCAGAGTGATCATGGGCCGCTTGGCTGCATATCTGGTCAGTCTTCTCCTTGTTTGAGATGAAAGTTTGGAGGGACGGCCGGGTCTTGGTAGATTTGCAGTGGTCTGATACTCCTTCCATTTCAATATAATTGCTTGCACAGTGCTCCTTCTCCACAACAGTATCTCGGACCTGCCTGGTGTGTTCCTTTGTCTTCATGGTTCTCTCTGCGCTTTAAACAGATCCCTGAGACTATCAAAGAGCAGGTGCATTTATACGGAGACTTGATTACACACAGGTGCATTCTATTTATCATCATCAGTCATTTAGGACAACATTTGATCATTCAAAGATCCTCACTGAACTTCTGGAGTGAGTTTGCTGCACTGAAAGTAAAGGGGCCGAATAATATTGCACACCCCACTTTTCAGTTTATTTGTTAAAAAAGTTTAAACTATCCAATAAATTTTGTTCCACTTCACGATTGTGTCCCACTTGTTGTTGATTCATCACAAAAAATTAAAATTTTATATCTTTATGTTTGAAGCCTGAAATGTGGCGAAATGTTGAAAGGTTCAAGGGGGCCGAATACTTTGATATACACTGATATATATATATATATATATATATCAGTGTATATCAATTAGGGCCGGGACTTTAACGCGTTAATTACGATTAATCAATGCAGAAAGGTCGGAAGGATGTATTAGTATATATATATATATATAACTAATACATCCTTCCGACCTTTCTGCATAAAAATAGAACAGGTTTGCGTTTGAAACAAAAATTTGTAAATAAAGTTAGTTCACAATTAATTGTATGTATTTATCTATGAAGACGATAGATAGAGATAGATACTTTATTGATCCCCGTAGGAGAAATTCAGGTGTTCAGTAGCAGCAAAAATAAAAAATAAATTGATTCTGAAAACATAACAATAGTAATAATCAGCAACAGCCTCAGGGTACAGCAGTAGAGGTGGAGTAGTCTCTGGGTGGAGCAGCACAGGTCACAGCAGCAGAGGTGGAGTAGCCTCTGGGTGGAGCAGGACGGGTCACAGCAGCAGAGGTGGAGTAGCCTCTGGGTGGAGCAGGACGGGTCACAGCAGCACAGATGGAGTGGCCTCTGGGTGGAACAGGACGGGTCACATCAGCACAGATGGAGCAGCCTCTGAGTGGAGCAGGACGGGTCACAGCAGCACAGATGGAGTAGTCTCTGGGTGGAGCAGGACGGGTCACAGCAGCACAGATGGAGTGGCCTCTGGGTGGAACAGGACGGGTCACATCAGCACAGATGGAGCAGCCTCTGGGTGGAGCAGGACGGGTCACAGCAGCACAGATGGAGTAGTCTCTGGGTGGAGCAGGACGGGTCACAGCAGCACAGATTGAGTAGCCTCTGGGTGGAGCAGGACGGGTCGCAGCAGCACAGATTGAGTAGCCTCTGGGTGGAGCAGGACTGGTCAGAGAAGCATAAATTGAGTCCTCTGGGTGGAGCAGCAGAGGTGGAGTAGCCTCTGGGTGGAGCAGGACGGGTCAGAGCAGCAAAGATTGAGTAGCCTCTGGGTGGAGCAGCACAGGTCACAGCAGCAGAGGTAGAGTAGCCTTTGGGTGGAGCAGGACGGGTCACATCAGCACAGATGGAGTAGCCTCTGGGTGGAGCAGGACAGGTCACAGCAGCAGAGGTGGAGTAGCTGCTTTGTTCGGACCATTTTCTCTGCTGTAGTCCAAAGTAAAACGCTAAATGCTTCATTAGCATTTTTCAAAAACTTTGCTTTCCTCCCGTGGATTTTCTGATCCACTTGGTTCGGACAATGAATCCTCTCTGCTCTGGTCTGGACCAGTGTAAAACCATCAATCCTCTCCGCTCCGGTCTGGACCAGTGTAAAACCATGAATCCTCTCCGCTCCGGTCTGGACCAGTGTAAAACCATGAATCCTCTCTGCTCTCGTCTGGACCAGTGTAAAACCATGAATCCTCTCCGCTCCGGTCTGGACCAGTGTAAAACCATGAATCTTCTCTGCTCTGGTCTGGACCAGTGTAAAACCATGAATCCTCTCCGCTCCGGTCTGGACCAGTGTAAAACCATGAATCCTCTCTGCTCTGGTCTAAACCAGTGTAAAACCATGAATCCTCTCTATTTTCTAAAATTCTAGAGAAGCTCTTTGTTATAAGGTTAGAAGATTTTTTTAATAAATATAACTTACTAACGGATTATCAGTTTGGGTTCAGGAGCAATAGATCACCCTCAATGGCAATCATGGAACTAGTAGAAGAAATAGCAAAAGCCACTGATAACAAAGAGTTTACGGTGGGGGTCTTCATCGACCTTAGCAAGGCCTTTGATACTATAAATCATGATTTACTATTATTAAAACTTGAGAGATATGGAATATGGAATTAAAACATTATCTAAGTGATAGAGATCAATATGTACAAATATATAACAGTAATTCTGAAAAAAGAAGAATCACCCATGGGGTTCCACAGGGCTCTGTACTTGGACCCAAATTGTTTAATATTTATGTAAATGATATTAGTCTTGCGTTCAGATATTTTATTTGCTGATGACACCAGTATTTACTCCTCTGGGAAAAGTGTTGATCAGCTTTTTGACAGAGTGGGAAAAGAACTACAAATCTTAAAAAAATGGTTTGACTATAACAAACTATCTATGAATTTAGCAAAATCTAAGTATATGATATTCGGAAACCGGAAAATCGATGCACTGGCTGAATTCAAAATAGATCACATAGTAATAGAGAGGATAAGTAATACAAAGTTTTTAGGTATCAATATAGATGAAAAAATAAACTGGAAATTACACATAAATTACCTTAAAATTAAGATTTCCAAAACCATTGGCATAATGAATAAAATTAAACACGTTTTAAATCAGAAAGCATTGCAGTTGATATATAATACCCTAATTTTGCAATATTTAAATTACGGTTCCGAAATATGGGGGAACACTTATAAGTCCACAACTCAACAAATGTTTATACTGCAGAAGAAAGCAATTAGAATAGTAAATGGTGTAGATTATTATGCGCAAACAAATTCACTGTTCATCAGATTGAATACCTTGAAATTACAAGACTTAGTCAAACTAAATACTGCAGCACTGATGTACAAAATTCATCATCATATGGTTCCAAATTGTATCCAGGAGAGATTTACACTGAGAGAACCGCACTATGATATCAGAGGGAAGGATTTGTAGGATTTGGCTTGTGCTGTACAAATAAATCAGCTCTCCTCCCAGCTTGCAATACATCATACATTGCATACAGATAAATTTGCATTTATCTTTAGCGAAAAAAACTTAAAAAAAGAGCACAGATGTTGTTCTTTCACTTTTAACGGACTTTTAGCTTTGTTTTTCACCCGAACATCTGGTATCTACGTGTTCCTTAGCTCCTTATCTTTCAAATGAGACTACTCCCGAAAAGCTAGACCAATTTTTGGGTCTGCAAGAGCTCCCGTGAGTACAGCTAGCGCTGCTGTTTGCGCATGGATCACTGATCTTTGTTGTGGTCCCAACTTGTTTACATTTACTTCCGGGATGTTTGATTGACATGTCCGTGTAGCTAATGAGGAAAGCTTTCGAGCAAGGGGTGGGACAATGGTGTCCTGTCTTATGTTGTGCCTGTAGAATTGTGCGTAATGGCAGCCAAAAGACGCTCTCGAAGGTGCAATGAATGTACACTCATAAAAAAATAACTTTGACATAAAAAAAAAAAAAACACATAGATTTGTAACTTATAAGTACCAATAATAAAAAATATTGTTTTTATGATAATTAAATGTCAGTAAAGATATTTGGCACAATTTGGCACAATTGTGCCAAATTGTGCCAAATGTGCACTACTTGATGAAAAGGAGAAACTGCATAAAAACTATAAAACTTAGAAGTCTGAAACTTTAGACAGTTGTTGTCAACAACACAATGACCACAGGGTTTGGATATTGTGAACTTACAATGAAGTATGCCTTTTTTAGGGCCTTTAGAAATGGAAAATGTTAGGCGAGGCTAAAAAAATTTAGTTTTTTTCCCAAACTTCAAAGGATGCAGAGGGAAATAGGAATGACAAACATTATTTTTGTGTTTTTTTACATAAACTAGAAGGCTCTAGCTTTAAAATGATGCATCACACAAGCATGTGAGATGTAAGATGTTTTTTTAAATAAGCAAAGACATTTGGGTATGCCCAACTTTTGTGCACGAGCCAAAATGAGGCGGATGTTTAATTAACAGACCATACACAGACCATATACAGACCTGGCAGAGCGAGCTTGTTGTGTTTGTGCATCTCTTTGAAGGACTGGTTCAGGTCCTCAGACACTTTGATGTCCTGGAACATTCGAGCCAGTTTGTTCACGTAGTCTGCAGGCATCCCCACTTCCTGCACACACATGTAACACATGTAAGGCCAGATCCTGTCAGATCTCTGAAGCTAAGCAGGACATGGTCTGGTTAGTGCTGTGATGGGAGACCTCTGTGAACACCAGCTGCGACTGTAAAGTGCCAAACTGTGGATGTGTCCTTAGGCAACACACTTCCCCCACATTAGAATGAGTCTGGTGTCTGTGAATGGTTGGTGGTGGGAGAAGCCAAGGGCACAGACTGGTTGGCTTGCTTCTGGCTGTGTGCACCAGGGCAGCTGTGGCTACATTAATTTATCACCACCGTGTTTGGAGAGAAAGAATAATGATGTGAAGAGTGTCCAAAAAGCACTGTATAAAACAGATGCGTTATTAGTATTATTATTAATAATAAGGCCCTGTGTCAAGGATCACCTTCTGCTATTTCCTCCTCAGTGTTTGCTTCAGTTCATGTACAGACCATAAATAATGTCACAGAGACAAGAGTCTAATTTTCCTCCATGTTTGTAAAGTGAATATGAGGGACACCAATCACAATATATCACAGAATCACATACTGTCTGTATTGTGATATGTCAGAATCACATACTGTCTGTATTGTGATATGTTCAGAATCACATACTGTCTGTATCATGATATGTTAGAATCACATACTGTCTGTATTGTGATATGTTCAGATTCACATACTGACTGTATCGTGTTCAGAATCACATACTGTCTGTGTAGTTATATGTTAGAATCACATACAGTCTGTATCGTGATATGTTCAGAATCACATACTGTCTGTATCGTGATATGTTAAGAATCACAATAGTATCGAATTGTGGCCTCAGTGGTGTTAGTATTAGATAGCAATATGGCCTACGTGCAGGACTCTACAAGGACTCTACAAGGACTCCATGTTATGACTATGATTTGACTGTCTCTTTGTGACACGTATGTCTTTCGATGTGTGACGTGACAATGACTATATAAACTGTGTACTGCCTTTATTCTGTCTGAGAGAAAGAAACAAAGTAAACCATTGGTACTTGAGAGAAACTTAAATAAACTTCCAGAGTTTGGCGCACCACGATCCGTCTCTGTCTGCTTCTTCCCTGACAGTACTATAGAATTCTCACACGTAGCTCACTCCCAGCCCTAGCGTACCCTGAGCCACTCCACCATGTTCTCCTCAATCTCGCTGTCTGCAGAGATGTCCAGGATCAGGCGTCTGGTCAGGTGGGCCTTGTGATATCGCATGAACACATCTTTGTTCTGCACATACTTCAGCACCAGCAGCTGCAGAACAAACAGACGTCAAGATGTGGGGATTCATCAGGATACCATAAAACACAAAAACTACTACATGAACACAATTCCATTTCATCGTTTGCACTTTTCTTTTACCTTCAGCAGAAATTGTGATCTATAAAACTTAGAGGATTTTGACCCCAGGGAGTTAGCTAGGGTCACAGGGAGTGGGTTAGGGTCACATGTCACAGGGAGTGGGTTAGTGTCACATGTCACAGGGAGTGGGTTAGTGTCACATGTCACAGGGAGTGGGTTAGTGTCACATGTCACAGGGAGTGGGTTAGGGTCACAGGGAGTGGGTTTGTGTCACATGTCAGAGGGAGTGGGTTATGCCGCTTTTCAACCGTGTCGGTTTGGTTCTTTTCGGTACGGTACGGCGTGCTTATTTTGCATTTGTACTAGTGATAGTCCCGGAGTTTTCGTTACTTTTTCGCAACACCTCGACTGCAAGACCTGATAGTACCGGTACCATGACGTGACGTCGGCCATCTGCCTTACACTGATTGGTCAATGAGTGTCATCACTGGAAGCGACATCTGACCCTTTGGGAAAAACAACTCAACTGCCATCTTTTAAACCGGCTGCTCTGCTCGGCTCTGCTTCGGCTACATTACGTCCTCCTCACTCCAGAGAAATGGAATCGCACAGAAAGCCTCAAACGTCAGCGTCCTGGTTGGTGGACGAGGTCCACACGTTACTCTCTTCAGGCCGAAAGAAAGAATTCAAAGGCAGGTTGAGGCTCGAGGTCTCAGACATACGTACTTTGGACTTTGTAAACTGTTGGTTTTGCACTTTACTTTTGTTTTTAATAAATCTGTGCTTGTATCCCAAGACTGTGTTTCATTCATTTATTATTATTGCAGCTGAGGTTTGGGTATTGGTTGTTTGTCTGGTCTTGGAGTCTGCTGCACTGGACCCGAGTCCGGACTAGCCTAACCTAGCCTAGCCGCTAACTCGCTACCCCTATGGCTGCCGCTGTCTCTCCCTCGGTCCTTTACTACTCGAGTTTCCATGCAGCGAGTCTAAACCCTGGATCCTTCTCTGAGGGTAGTGATAGATGTGTTAAGTGTAGTATAGTTGTAGCTTTGGAATCCAGGGTTAGTGAGTGAGCTGAGTCTCGAGCTAGCGCTCACATTAGCTATAGCCAGGCCGTATCCTCGGACAAGCAGCCCTCCTCTGCACACTGCAACACAGGCTGCTGTTGCTACAGGTATGTCCCATTCAGATTGTACAGAGCACAGTCAGTGTCCGAGTCATTCTTTTAGTACATAAGCATTTTCAACAACCACTCGTGCTGTGCTGAATTTTCTATTCAACACTTGCTGTTCGTCTGATATTATAATAAGTCCATGCACCGCATCAGTACTAGTTACGCATCACGCGTAAATGACGTGGTCTGACAACACTGAGGACATACTAGGAGGTACTATTGTTGATGGAAAAGCATGTGAACTGGGCCGTGCCGTTCCGTGTAGAGTCGAAAAGAACCGTACTGGGACTGTGGAAAAGCGGCATTAGTGTCACATGTCACAGAGAGTGGGTTAGGGTCACATGTCACAGGGAGTGGGTTAGTGTCACATGTCACAGGGAGTGGGTTAGGGTCACATGTCACAGGGAGTGGGTTAGGGTCACATGTCCGTACTTGGAGTGGGTTAGGGTCACATGTCACAGGGAGTGGGTTAGGGTCACATGTCACACTGAGTGGGTTAGGGTCACATGTCACAGGGAGTGGGTTAGGGTCACATGTCACGGAGTGGGTTAGGGTCACATGTCACAGGGAGTGGGTGAGGGTCACATAAAGAGTTAGGGTTAGGGTCACAGGGAGTGGGTTAGGGTCACATGTAGAGTTAGGGTTGGGGTCACAGGGAGTGGGTTAGGGTCACATGTAGAGTTAGGGTTGGGGTCACAGGGAGTGGGTTAGGGTAACATGTAGAGTTAGGGTTAGGGTTCCTCAATGGCTTCTCTCACAGTATAATAACAAGTCTGGATACCTGCTGCTCTGAGGTGCCCCAGAGTTAGATTCTAGGTCCAGTGGCTTTTTGCTTTGGAAGTGTAATTACTGTAATTACTGCTTATGTACGTTTTTGGTTTTCATAATGAAGGTAAGGGGCACTTGTGCACTTTGATTCCATTTTACACTTTTCTCTGGGACTACAGTTGGAAACTAGCTGTTAGCTAATACCGACACAGCAATGTTGATAAATGTGTATCGTTCCAATTCAAATAAACTAATAAATAAATAAATAAAATAAGTATCCCCGTAGGAAAATTCTTCATCTGCATTTGACCCTGATGCTACTCGGGCGTTTGGGGAAACAAACAAACTCCACACAGAAAACTGTTCCGACCTGGATTCGAACCCAGGACCTTTTTTCTGAGAAGCAAGAGTGCTAACCACTCAATCACCTCATGGTCTTATGCCGCCTTATGGTGCGGGTTAGCCATTACGGCACTTTGGAAAGCCTATGCCGGTTCAAATGTGCTTTATAAACAAAGATAAATTATACAGATGGACACATATTTCTTTGTCATTTTCCAGTGTAGAGAACGGTGACGATGGTACATTTCCGGTGAAACAGAAGTGAAGCAGTTACCACTTCTTTGAGCTTGGCCTCGATCTCCTCGGAGGTCAGCTTCTTGCTCAGAGGAGTTTTCCGCAGCAGCATGTCGCAGTAGTTGGCCAGCAGCTCTGGACACTTGGACTCCGGCTGCGTCTTTAGGCCCATTCTGCACAAGACCAAGTCAACTTTACAACAGATCAGGGGCCTCAAACTCAGAGTGTGGGGGCTGCTTAAGGTGGGGTCTGAGAGAAGCTGGGCCACGTAAAGGTTATGTTTATCATGCGTTTGTGTGTGTGCAGGATGTATGACCATTGGATCAAACAGATTATGCTCAGAGATTCTTTCTCTAACATTAGAGAAAGTAAAGGGTGGGCTGGAAACAGAGACAAAAACAGGAAAACTAAGAATCAAACATTTGTGGGGGCCGCACTGACAGAAAAGTGTGATGTCCACGGGCTGCATGTTTGAGACCAGTGCTTTAAGCAAAATGTCATAAAACCACAGTGCTGTTTCACAAAGACAACTGTAATATTGGCCCCCTGCTGGTCGCTTGGGGAACTGTACTATTGGAATAATACAAACTCTTGTTGTTATGGAAATTCTAATGCTTCAAATGAATAAATCCAAGAGCAACCAGCTTGTCTTTGTGCAGTTTATTTACAGAGGTGATGAATACAATCAATGACATTTCTCTGCAGAGAGTGTCAGACCGAAGCTGTGTGCAAACAGGACGTTTCCACAGCCTCGCTCTGACCCCCGCATTCCAAACATGTTGATAATTATACTCGGGGCGTGAATCAAAGAACAATGAGCAGACGTCACGGACTCAGGGAGACGGGGGGCGAGATGGGGTGAGTCATGCACCGGGCAGAGGTAGAGGAGAAGACAGGGAGACGGGAAGAAACAGATAAGCGGAGAACATTTGAGATAGCACACCTGCAGATTGCAACAGCAAGCACACAGAGTCTATGGGAGAAGAGGACAGCAGAATGTCCCTTTGTGTTGAAGACAATAAGACTTTGTGTAATGTAACAGTGATTATCAAAAATACAATCTCCCGTCCGGGAATTTGTTTAAATGTATCTGTCAGCTGCACAACACAATCACACAATCTCCTGATGCTGGGAAACTTACCATAACATTGTGGATCCAGACAGTTGGAATAATACAGACTCTTGTGGATCCAGACTATTGGAATAATACAGACTCTTGTGGATCCAGGCTATTGGAATAATACAGACTCTTGTGGATCCAGACTATTGGAATAATACAGACTTTTATGGATCCAGACTCTTGGAATAATACAGACTGTTGTGGATCCAGACTATTGTGGATCCAGCATATTGGAATAATACAGACTCTTGTGGATCCAGACTATTGGAATGATACAGACTCTTGTGGATCCAGACTATTGGAATAATACAGACTCTTGTGGATCCAGGACTCACCCCTTCTGTTTCATGGGAAGTTCCAGCTTAAATATTGTGGCATCGTTGACCACGGCCTTGTACGCCTGTGGACAGAGAGCAGAGAGAGGAGGTGAGCAGAAAGAGGAGAAAGAGGAGGTGAACAGAGAGAGCAGAGAGAGGAGGTGAACAGAGAGAGCAGAGAGAGGAGGTGAACAGAGAGAAGAGAGAGGAGGTGAGCAGAGATAAGAGAGAGGAGGTGAGCAGAGAGAAGAGAGCGAGGAGGTGAGCAGAGAGAGCAGAGAGAGGGGGTGAGCAGAGAGAGCAGAGAGAGGGGGTGAGCAGAGAGAGCAGAGAGAGGGGGTGAGCAGAGACGGGGTGAGCAGAGAGAGGAGATGAGCAGAGAGAGGAGGTGATGAACCAGAGCAGTACTTTGTCTCTGGCCGTGAGGAAGCGAGGATCGTCCTGGAACGCCTCCTTCACGAGGCGACTGAAGCGGTTAAACAGCGTCAGCAGCTGCTCCACGTACTTCTCTGAGTCCTGCATCACATGAAAATACAGGAGTCATTACATGAAAATACAGGAGGTATTACATGAAAATACAGGTGCCATCACATGAAAATACAGGTGCCATCACATGAAAATACAGGAGCCATCACATGAAAATACAGGAGTCATCACATGAAAATACAGCTAAAGCAGTGGTCTTATGTCAGGGCCATGGGCTAAAGCAGTGGTCTTATGTCAGGGCCATGGGCTAAAGCAGTGGTCTTATGTCAGGGCCATGGGCTAAAGCAGTGGTCTCCAACCGGTCTCACCGATTCAGGAATCTAACACAAGAAAAGGATTACATTTAGAGTCCTTGCATCTGTATTTTGACCATCCATCCATCCATTTTCTTCCCCTTAATCCATTTCTGGGTCGGGGTGACTTTTAGAATGATGTGTTTGTGTTTCTGCTGTTACAGGATCAGTAAAGTATCTGTCTAACATTACCCCGTTCATGCATATTCTCAGCACTTTAATTTGAACAAACGGATTGATAAGAAGAGGCCACAGACCGAAGTGATGGTCTCTGCAGAGGCCACCATGTCTGCCAGCCCCGCACTCATGATGTGCTCCTCCAGGTCCTTCAGCATCGGATCAATCCCACTGGGAACTTTGTCCATGAGCGAGAACATGAGGTGCAGCTCTGCAGACACACACACACACACACACACACACACACACACACACACACACACACATTATACACACACACACAATCCCACTGGGAACTTTGTCCATCAAGCGAGAACATGAAGTGCAGCTCTGCAGACACACACAGATTATACACACTTCATTATCCATGAAGGTGCAGAGGCTGTCGGTCTCAGTTGTGATGAGGGTGCAGAGGCTGTACTCACTGTTGTGATGAAGGTGCAGAGGCTGTAGTCACTGTCGGTCTCAGTTGTGATGAAGGTGCAGAGGCTGTACTCACTGTTGTGATGGAGGTGCAGAGGCTGTACTCACTGTTGTGATGAAGGTGCAGAGGCTGTACTCACTGTTGTGATGGAGGTGCAGAGGTTGTACTAACTGTTGTGATGAAGGTGCAGAGGCTGTACTCACTGTTGTGATGAAGGTGCAGAGGCTGTACTCACTGTTGTGATGAAGGTGCAGAGGCTGTACTCACTGTTGTGATGAAGGTGCAGAGGCTGTACTCACTGTTGTGATGAAGGTGCAGAGGCTGTACTCACTGTTGGGATGAAGGTGCAGAGGCTGTACTCACTATTGTGATGAAGGTGCAGAGGCTGTACTCACTGTCGGTCTCATTCCGTTTGATCATCCCAGGACACTCTGCCAGGATGGTCTCTTTGAAGGAGGTGACCAGGGCGTTCACACAGCACTCCATCAGCTGCAACACACACAGGTCAGTGACGCACAACACAACACTCCATCAGCTGCAAACACACACAGGTCAGTGACGCACAACACAACACAACATCAGCTGAAACACACACAGGTCAGTGACACACAACACTCCATCAGCTGCAAACACACACAGGTCAGTGACGCACAACACAACACTCCATCAGCTGCAAACACACACAGGTCAGTGACGCACAACACAACACTCCATCAGCTGAAACACACACAGGTCAGTGACGCACAACACAACACTCCATCAGCTGCAAACACATAAAGGTCAGTGACGCACAACACAACACAACACAACACAGCACTCCATCAGCTGCAACACACAGGTCAGTGACTCACAACACAACACTCCATCAGCTGCAACACACACAGGTCAGTGACGCACAACACAACACAGCACTCCATCAGCTGCAACACACAGGTCAGTGAGGCACAACACAACACTCCATCAGCTGCAACACACACAGGTCAATGACGCACAACACAACACTCCATCAGCTGCAACACACACAGGTCAGTAAAACACAACACAACACTCCATCAGCTGCAAACACACACAGGTCAGTGACGCACAACACAACACTCCATCAGCTGCAACACACACAGGTCAGTGACGCACAACACAACACTCCATCAGCTGCAACACACACAGGTCAGTGACACACAATACAACACAACACAGCTGCTGCAGAGATAATGAAACACATGTAATAGACACACAACAGAGAGAGACCAGTGAGAGAGACCAGAGACCAGAGAGAGAGACCAAAGAGACCAGAGAGAGACCACAGAGAGAGAGACCAGAGAGAGAGACCAGAGAGAGAGACCAGAGAGAGACCACAGAGAGAGATACCAGAGAGAGAGACCAGAGAGATACCAGAGAGAGAGACCAGAGAGAGAGACCAGAGAGACACCAGAGAGAGAGACCAGAGAGAGACCAGAGAGAGAGACTGGTGTGGTTATGGACCAAGTGTGTGATGATAGAAAATAGTTAAAGATGGACTCACTGCTTGCACAGAGTTGCAGTCTCTCCTGGTCTCCAGGTACCGCAGCGCTCGCTTCTCCTCCTCCCTGAGCTTGGAGTCGGCCTGGACACAACACACAAGTACCAACTTCACCAACACTACTCCCAGTATCATGGATCCATCAGAAATCCCAGAGCCAGCACCAATTTCACCAACACTACTCCCAGTATCATGGATCCATCAGAACTCCCAGAGCCAGCACCAAAGAGCACAGGGACTGGCCTCCTGCTGGGACTCTGAGGAGCACAGGGACTGGACTCCTGTTAGTGCCCAGAGTCAGAACTAGACATGGGGAGGCTGATTTTCAGATTAATGTTGCTAAAATCTGGAACAGTCTTCTTGAGGATGTAAGACTGGCTGCCTCTCTGGCAATGTTCAAATCCAGGTTAAAGACTTTTCCTTTTTGCCTGTGCTACAACTGAAGAATTTTAAGGTGCGTTTATTTTTAACGCACCTTTTTATTATTGTAACCCTTTGTGTGATTTTTATGGTTTGTAATTTTGTATTAATTACTTTTAATGTTTTAGTGATTTTAATGTTTTTAATTACTTGTGTGATTTTGTATTTTTAATTTGTGCTTTGTGTGGTGTGGACTGTGAGGCGCTTTGTGTTGCCCTGTGCAGGAAAAGCGCTCTATAAATAAAGATTGATTGATTGATTGATATACATATATATACAAATATATTAATATATTTAGTGTGAACAAACACATATACATATATATATGGCATTTTGTGTGTTTTGTTGCCTCACAACCTTGAATTAACATGGATTGTTTGAGGATTTGCATCATTTAATTTACAGAACATGCCCACAACTTTGAAGATGTTGTCTTTTTTTTTATTGTGAAGCAAACAACAAATAGGACAAAATTACAGAAAAGGTCAATGTGCATAACTATTCACCCCCTTAAAGTCAATACTTTGTAGAGCCACCTTTTGCGGCAATCAAAGCTCCAAGTCGCTTTGGATAAGTCTCTATGAGCTTGCCACATCTTACCACTGGGATGTTTGCCCATTCCTCCTTGCAAAACTGCTCCAGCTCCTTCAAGTTGGATGGTTTGCGCTTGTGAACAGCAAACTTTAAGTCTGACCACAGATTTTCTATTGGATTGAGGTCTAGGCTATGACTAGGCCATTCCAACATGTTTCTCCTTAAACCACTGACGTGTTGCTTTAGCAGTGTGTTTGGGGTCATTGTCCTGCTGGAAGGTGAACCTCCGTCCTAGCCTCAAATCAAGCACAGAGTGGTACAGGTTTTGCTCAAGAATATCCCTGTACCATCCATCTTTCCCTCAACTCTGACCAGTTTCCCAGTCCCGGCTGCCACCACCATGTTTCACTGTGGGGATGGTGTTCTTTGGGTGATGTGATGTGTTAGGTTGGGTTTGCGCCGGACATAGCGTTTTCCTTGATGGCCGAAAAGTTCAATATTAGTCTCATCAGACCAGAGCACCTTCCTCCATACATTTTGGGAGTCTCCCACATGACTCTTCGCAAACTCAAAACGTGCCATTTTGTTTTTTGCTGAAAGTAATGGCTTTCTTCTGGCCACTCTGCCATAAAGCCCAACTCTATGGAGCGTACGGCTTATTGTCGTCCTATGTACAGATACTCCAGTCTCTGTTGTGGAACTCTGCAGCTCCTCCAGGGTTACCTTAGGTCTGTGTGCTGCCTGTCTGATCAATGCCCTCCTTGCCCGGTTTGTGAGTTTTGGTGGGCGGCCGTCTCTTGGCAGGTTTGCTGTTGTGCCATGTTCTTTCCATTTGGTTATGATAGATTTGATGGTGCTCCTGGGGATCATCAAAGATTTAGATATTTTTTGACAACCTAACCCTGACTTGTACTTCTCAACAACACTGTCCCTTACTTGTTTGGAGAGTTCCTTGGTCTTCATGGCAGTGTTTGGTTAGTGGTGCCTCTTAGGTGTTGCAGCCTCTGAGGCCTTTCAAAAAGGGTGTGTATATGTACTGACAGATCATGTGACACTTAGATTGCACACAGGTGGACATGATTTCACTATTTATGTGACCTCTGAAGGTAGTTGGTTGCACCAGAGCTTTTTATGGGCTTCATTTGAGATTGAATGACATTGTTTGTCAGGCTTGAACTCTCTGACCCGGCTTGGATTTGCCCCTGTGTACGGAGTCTGAGGGCGCCGTAATTCGGTTTAATTGGAATTAATAGCCTGTTTTTGATGCTACATTGCATATTATATTGTTTTTCTCCTGCTGTGTCTTCTCTCCACTCTTATCTCACATTCCTCGCCCAAGGCCATAAACAAGGTCCCACAATCTACAACAACTCACACTATTTCAGTCTCCAGCAAGGATCCCTCACCCCCGCCTCCCTCTACCTATCCATCTTGCTCCCTCCCTTGCCTCCATTCCTCATTGTTTTCCTACTCACCCCCTCCCTGATCCCGCCCCCCTCTGACAGCTACATTGGGCCGGTCGCCGGAGGTGCTCATCCCGAGAAAAAAATCCGTGGTTTATAAAAAGCACAATGTGTCTATCCAATTGTCTGTGAACTGTATGTTATTGCTCTCTGCTGTTTCTTGCTGCACACAGCGCCGCAAATGGCGAAGTGGCACGCTCTCTGCCAAGACAATTTCCAAGTGATAACTTTGTTACTCACGTGGCAATAAAAATGATTCTGATTCTGATTCTGATTCTGATAACAAAGGGGGTGAATACATACTGTATGCACATGCCAATTTCCAGTTTTTTATTTCTGAAAAATAGTTTTATGTATATATTTTTCTCAATTCACTTCACCAACTAAGACTATAGTTTTCTGATCCATCACATGAAATTCAGATTAAAAAAACATTGAACTAAAGGCTGTAATGAAACAAAATTGGTAAAAAGCCAAGGGGGTGAATATTTTTGCAAGGCACTGTATATACTGATATGTACTAATATATTTATATATTTAGTGTGAACAAACACATATACATATATACAGTGGGGCAAAAAAGTATTTAGTCAGCCACCAATTGTGCAAGTTCTCCCACTTAAAATAATGACAGAGGTCTGTAATTTTCATCATAGGTACACTTCAACTGTGAGAGACATTTAAAAATCCTACAATGTGAATTCTTGGATTTTTTTTCACATTCTGTCTCTCACAGTTGAAGTGTACCTATGATGAAAATTACAGACCTCTGTCATTATTTTAAGTGGGAGAACTTGCACAATCGGTGGCTGACTAAATAAGTTTTTGCCCCACTGTATACTGATATATACTTACATAATTAGTGTGAACAAGACCATATTCATATACATACAGTACATATATATATATATATATATATATACTTACATATTTAGTGGGAATAAGGCCAAATTCTAAGGCTAATGCTAATGCTAAGTATTGCAATGGAGACTTCAGACCAGACTCAAAAAGAGGACTTCAACTGCCGTAGAAATGTGCTTAACAAGCAACAAGCCAACATAAAAAAGTTATAATTATAGTTAAAAAGTGAACTGCTCATAGGGAATGCGCGCGCTCGCACACACACACACACAGCCTTGTGAATGTAATCAGGAGACCCTGGCTCATATCACCGACTTTTGAGAGAATCATAATAACAGCGAAGTCACCTGAGAGTCAAGGCTGCGGCCCAGAGTCAGTCCATGTGTGGTCCAGAGTCAGTCCATGTGGGGTCCAGGGCCAGTCCATGTGTGGTCCAGAGTCAGTCCATGGGTGGTCCAGAGTCAGTCCATGGGTGGTCCAGAGTCAGTCCATGTGTGGTCCAGCTCACATATTTCATGTAGTTCTGGACTCCGTTCTGCTGCAGATAGGCCGGGGCCTGTGTTCTGTAGAAGCGCTCGGTGGAGTCCATGTAGGCCTTCTCAAAGTTGTCTCTGTAGATCTGCAGCTTGTCCTCAGGGTTGGAGCACAGGTTCACTGCAAGGCAACACAGCACTTTACACAGACGGCAGCACTTTGACAATGGGGTGAGTTATTGTGACTTCACCTCATGTTTTATACGTTTATTATATGGATGTAAGTATTAGGGCTGGGTGATTTCACATCGTATTATTGTGAGAGACAGTATGAAATTTTAACAGCAGCTGAGATCAGCAATAAAGTTGCAAAATTATGGGATTTTTCAAATGAAGAAACTTTAATTAATGAGAAAGTAAGGGATCAGGAATAAACAAGACCCAGCCCTGCGCACACGCACGCCCACACCCACGCACGCACACACACACACACGTACACACACACACACGTACGTACACACACACACCGTAGGACTCTCTGACTCCGATGACCAGCTGGGAGTCAAAGGCCTCCCCCAGTCTCTCTGCGTGCACAAGCTTCATGGCGCTGTCCTGGAGTCTGTTTTTGATGTTGGAGAAGATCGACTCGTTCCACGTGTCAAGCATGAGCTGGAGATGAACAACACAAAGAACACATTTAAAGTCATCGCAAAAAAGAAAAAAAACACAATTTCAACCATATTGAAACCCGGGATTCTGGTTCTCAAAATAGTTGGCCTCTACCACAGGTTTTTGGTCTGTAGATCAGATTTGTCAGATGGAAAAGTGAAAAACAAAGGACCACATTCACTCAGTCAATCAACCCCCAGGGTCAAACAATGACTCTAAGGGCTCTTTCTTACAAGGATGTAAAAATTATCAGACAGATTCATCACAGAGCGCTCTGATTACATGCTATTGCTGAAGAATCCAATGTATGGGTTCATTCACTTTTCATATGAGCATAAAACCATCTACAAATCACAATTTCACTCATTCACCGTCATCTGTTCTGACAATAAACCAGAGTCCTGTAGTAACCCTGACTTGGTGGACTCAAAATAATACGTCCATAAACTCTGACAACAGCCAACAGGGATCAAAGAGGTACAAAACAATAGCGGCTTAGGATCAAAAAAATAATTAAATACAATGTGTAGGGTCTGCATCACAAAGAGACAGGAGATCAAAGGCGTGGACAGAGACCTTGCGGACGATGCTGTCCTCCACCGTGGACTTCTTGGTGCTGCCCTGTTTCCCCAGGAGTGTGATCTCCAGCTGACAGAAGGGTTTGGGCAGAATGTCGCACTGAGTGAAGAACTTCCTCCACTCCACGATGTAGGCTTTGAGGAGCGCCGTGTCATCCTGGTGACTCAGGACACGCTGGACACAGACACACAAATTGATTCAATCATAAACATAACACATGTACAATATATATTTAAAGTTGACAATAAAATATAGTCAAACCCAAATGTGTCTTTAGTCTGTTGGATGGGAATAATGTAAGTGATGGGAGCTCCCCTTCATGTGAGAGTCGTCTGTGGAGAATAATGTCTAAGGATCACATTTTTGCTCTTTCCTCCTCAGTGTTTGCTTCAGTTCATATACAGACCATAATAAATGTCACAGAGACAAAAGTCTAATTTTCCTCCATGTTTGTAAAGTGAATAATATGAGGGACACAAATCACAACATATCACAGAATCACATACTGTCTGCATCGTGATATGTCAGAATCACTGTCTGTATCGTGATACGTTAGAATCATATACTGTCTGTATTGTGATATGTTAGAATTACATACTGTCTGTCTAGTGATATGTTCAGAATCACATATTGTCTGTATAGTGATATGTTCAGAATCACATACTGTCTGTATCGTGATATGTTCAGAATCACATATTGTCTGTATCAGAATCAGAATAATTTTTATTGCCACGTAAGTAACAGGAGGTCACAGACTCGGAAATTGCATTGGCTCGGTGCAACAGTCAGAAGGAGAGATTAAAAATTAAAGAATAAAAAACACTTCTGAGGAATAAATTTTAAATAAAAATTAAAATAGAGTTACAATTGCTATATACAATATACAGTGCACATGGTGCACACAATGTAAGGTGACAGCAGTACAGTGAAGTAAAGTGATAGATGATGGGCAGTAAAGTGACATTATAAAGGGCAGTAAAGTGACTTTATAAAGAGCAGTAGGGAACTTTATAAAGAGCAGTAGGGGACTTCTAGAGGGCGGGGAGGTTAAGAAGTGTTCAAGTGTTCAAGAGTCCAACAGCAGAGGGGAAGAAACTGTTCTTGTGGCGGGAGGTTCTATTCCTGATGGACCGCAGCCTCCTGCCTGAGGGGAGTAGTTGGAATAGTCCATGTGCAGGGTGAGAGGGGTCGGCTATGATACGACCAGCCCGGCCTCGAGCTCGTGTAGAACTGCACCAACATCTGTGCAGGCAGCTTGGCTTTCCTGAGCTGCCGCAGGAAGTACATCCTCTGCTGGGCCTTCTTGATGAGGGAGCTGATGGTCGGCTCCCACTTGAGGTCCTGGGTGATGGTGGTGCCCAGGAAACGATAGGACTCCGCAGAGGTGATGGGGGGGTCATCAAGAGTCATGACTCTTAACTTCCTACTTCTCAACCCGGAGAAGACAGAAGTGATCCTACTCAGTCCGAAGCGCCTGCGTGACTTCCTTACTAACCAGATAATCACTCTCGATAATGTCAGTATTATACCCAGTAACACTGTGAGGAATCTTGGAGTAATTTTTGACCAAGAACTCTCCTTCAAGGCTTATATAAGCCAGCAACTAAAACGGCGTACTTCCACTTACGGAACATCGCTAAAATTAAGAATTTTCTTCCTAAAAGTGACGCGGAAAAACTTATTCACGCTTTTGTCACGTCAAGACTTGACTACTGTAACGCTTTATTGGCAGCATGCCCTAAAACCTCTTTGAAGAGCATCCAGCTCGTTCAGAATACAGCAGCTAGGATCTAAACAAGTACCAAAAGGAGGGAGCACATAACTCCGGTGTTAAAATCACTCCACTGGCTCCCTGTGGAGTACAGAATAAAGTTTAAAATCCTTCTCTTAACATATAAAGCCATAAATGGCTTGGCTCCCTTCCTATCTCCATAACAGGTTAGTGTCATATCAACCAAGTCGAGCGTTGCGCTCACAAAACGCCAGACATCTGATGGTTCCTAAGGTCTCAAAAATCACTGTTGGCGGCAGAGCATTTAGCTCCAAGCTCCTTTACTGTGGAATCAGCTTCCCATTCATGTTAAGGAAGCAGATACGGTCTCCACATTCAAGGCCAGGCTTAAAGCACTCTACTTTAATTTAGCATATCATTAGGTAATATATAATATATGGTGTATATATTATATATATATGCTGTATTATATTATATATTATACAATATTATGTATTATGTTGTGTATTGTGTTATGTTGTATATTATGTTATATATCATGCTGTATGTATTATATATAATATATATAATATGTATGGTATATGTGATATACATTATATATAATATATAATTAGGTTTGCCTGGATCGGTTTGCACACCTGGTGTGCAATCGAGGGGCGACAGTAGCTCAGTTGGTAGAGCATTGGCCTTAAGGCCAGAAGGTCGTGGGTTCAATTCCCACCTCTGCACCTTCTCCACCGACTCCCACTGATGACTGCTGTCGTTGTGTCCTTGGGCAAGACACTTAACCCCACTTTGCCCAAAGCCCCCACTGAAAGATCAAGGCTATGCTCTCACTCAGAGAGCAGCCGTCCTCCTGTGGACCCACCACCTGCAGAGGGTCAGTGAGGGGCTGGTGCTATGAGACTTGGGTGGCAGCTCTGATTGCCACCCCCCTGACCCAGAAATGGATTAAAGGGAAGAAAATGGATGGATGGATGGATGGTGTGCAATCTATGAATTTTGGTGCTGTAACCTAGGCTAGCCTAGCCGTGGCTGCTGCTGCTGTCTCACCTCCTTTCAGATACGCTCTCTTTATTCAAGGCTAGGTTTAAAACAGTCCTCTTTAGTTTAGCATATGGTTAGGAAGGTAAGACTCAGAGAAGGCTAAACTCCTCAGACTGTCAGTCAAGCTGCATAGGGAGTCAGTTTGCTGGGAGAAGTATGGTAACTTGAGCACTATCCTCTCCTCCTTCCTACTTTATTTGTTTAGCATTATTAGGATTTTGACTGTAGTTTGTTCATTGCTATTCACCCGTTGTCCCATTGTCTGTTTCATGGTACGATGACGGGATCTCTGAGCCTGGCCTCCTCCATCTACACCTGTGGACTGCCCTGCCCGACCCACCTGGGAGTGCTTCAGTCCTGCACCGGACCTGTCCACGTTCAGCGGCCACTGGTCCACGTCCTGTAGCTAGCTTAGGTCCTGGATCATTAGCCTGTCCGTCCGGAGGAGCGGATCCCTTTCTCAAATGGGTCTCCCTCCCTGTGGGTTTCCCTAGTTCTCCCCAAGGTTTCTCACTTTTTCCCACTGGGTTTTTTAAGAGTTTTTCCTTGCCGATGCAGGAGGGTCTTGTTGGACAGTTAGTGTCCAACAAAAAGGATTGGCGATGATCAGGACACCTTAGCATTCTACAACATGTATGGACATATTCTTCTGTGTGTGCTTTATATTTTTCATGTGTTTTAACGGTTGTTCTCTGACCTGTGTTGGTGATTTCAATGGTTTTGTTAAGTCCTCTGAGATGACTTCTGTTGTGACCTAGGGCTATACAAGAATAAATTGTATTGTATTGTATCACGGAGGGTTGGGGCGGGGGGACTGTGCTCTTCCTGAAGTTCACAATCATCTCCACCGTCTTCTGGGCGTTCAGCTCCAAGTTGTTACCACTGCACCAGGACACCAGCTGGTCCACTTCCCTCCTGTAGGCGGACTCATCGTTGTTAGAGATGAGTACAATGAGGGTGGTGTCGTCCGCGAACTTGATCAGCTTCACGGAGTCGTGGCTGGAGGTGCAGTGGTTGGTGTACAGGGAGAAGAGCAGGGGAGAAAGAACACAGCCCTGTGGGGAACCTGTAGTTATAATCCGAGAGTCCGAGACATTCTTCTTATTGTGATCTGTTCAGAATCCCATACTGTCTGTATCGTGATATGTTCAGAATCACATACTGTCTGTATCGTGATATGTTCAGAATCACATCCTGTCTGTATCGTGATATGTTCAGAATCACTGTCTGTATCGTGATATGTTAGAATCACTTACTGTCTATATTGTGATATGTTAGAATCACATACTGTCTGTATCATGATATGTTCAGAATCACAATATTATTGAATTGTGGCCAAATATCACAGTGGTATTGAATCCTCACATTCGTGCCAGTTCTCGCCCTAAAATCCAGAGAGAGCAGAGACTTACGGCTTGTGCTTGTTTGATGAAGTCGAGGATGTCTTCTTTCAGGGCCTGGTGGATCTTGGCGGGACCTTTGTCGTCCCACAGACAGACTGCGTGTACGTCACTATGAGAAACACAGTGTTTTCACCTGAAGTACTTTGTGTGAAACGCACTTTACAAATGAAGATGTCTTTAACATAATAAAGAAGCAAGAGTAAATCTTGTATATTCTAATGCATGGGTGTCAAAGTCAAGGCCCGGGGGCCAGATCCGGCTCGCAAATGAAAAATCTTGGCCCCCGGAATGATATTTACTTAGAATTAGAAACGGCCCACACAGAGCCATAAGAAAATCTCGGATTGTTCATGTAATCATTAAAGGAGCAATATGTAATATTTGCATGTCAAGTCATCATTAAATGACCCGAATATTTCAAAAGGCGTTATTAAATCATACTCTTTTCGAATTCATCTTTAACTGATAACAGTAGTTCAGCCGAGATATTTGATTATCAAAATTAGTTTTACGACCCGTAAAAGTTGTTATTTTTTTGATTTTGATGTCCTACCCTCCGCCGTTTTGCCAATCAGGAAGTGTCATGTAAGTCCGTGATCGGGTTGCCAGAACTCCGCGCGGCTCATTAATCACAGTGGTAAAATAACATGTGGCGCAGAACTAAAAAAGGTCTTGTTATGACTCTCAAATCATTAATGACAAAACAAAGACTAAAACGAGGATTTATATCGGGATGCCTTTGAACAATTGAGACAGCTGATAAAAGTTCACGTGTGATGCAGACTTTTCTAATTTGAGTCCGTTCTTCACGGTGCCTTTGTTCATGTAAACCGGTGGTCTAGCGGTCTAAGCTGTGCACTTATGATGTAGGAACCCGGGTTCGATTCCGGGTAATGTCTTTTTGTATTTATTGCATGTTATCACATTCTATGACAGATTGCTCTAAAAACGGTAAAAGATGAAGGTCAAGACGTTTTTTTGCAGATTATAGCTTAATTGTAAAAATAATCATTTAAGACCACATGTACCCCAATTAAAATAATGTTAGTCTCTTTTTGATGTGGGACTTTTACATGTTTGTCTAAAAAATAGGGAATAAATAAAATTGAAAGGTGATATCTTCTTGAGCAAACCCTGATGTTGATACGCTGAAGAAATACGTTCCAACATCCATTCTTCCCACTCCTATTTTGGACATCAATTTCTTATTTATTTTGCATAAACTATGTATAATTACATTGCTTTTATTTTGTTTTTGTTTTTTATCTCAAATGTCCAAATAATAATAATAAAAAAACATTAATCAAAACATTCATTCAGCATTAGCACGGCTGTCATGGCAATGTGAATGGAGACGGACAAACAACTGATAAAATAATTCCCTGTGTTTGCTGCTGGATTTGGTGTGAATCTGGCAACCTGAGTCAGGGAGAGTGGGAGAGGACTACAAAATATTGACTGTGACTGCAGTACCACTTTTGGCCAGATTTTTACATATTGCTCCTTTAAATAAAATACGATCCATTGAATTAGGTCCTGGTTCATTTTAACATGTTTTAATGAACATTGAACCAGTCCGGCCCTCAGCTTGTAGCAAATGTTTTTTTTTGGCCTCTGATGTATTTGACTTTTTGTCCTGGTGTGTGTCTTACGAGAAGAGGTCGAACCACTGCTGTTTGGTGACGGACTCCTGCCTCAGCAGCTTCAGCACGATCGGCCGCATCAGGTCCCACTTATCCTCAAACTGGAGGGAGCCTTTGTTCTGCAACACACACAGAGACACACACAAAGACAGACAGACACACACAGACATACACACAGAGACAGACACACACAAGCACAGAGATAAAGAGACAAAAACACACACACAGAGAGATAGAGAGACAAACACACACAGAATATAGATTACTACCAGAGGCAACAGTGCATTATTGTCATTGATAATAAACCACAACCGAGATATTAAATCTGGAGGGACTGGAACAGACAAAACAGGGCGTTAATAAACTTGTTTAATGGTCTCGAATGTGGTAAAGATCTGGTGCTTAGACTCCGGCAGAAGGGAAATGAAGATAAAGATTATGTGATGAAATCCCCCAGGGCCTAGATCGTGGTAGTGGGAGTGAGAAGCATGAATGAAAGCTGCTGCGCTGCACATGAGCTGAGTGTGACTGACTGATGCCATGAAACAACAGTGGGACGCTTAGATTTTTTTGTCTTTTGTCATCTGAATGTCCACTTTAGCTTAATTAATGTAACGTGTACAAATTACAGAAAAAAATCAACAGACACAAAGGTTTTGAAGTAGCTTATAACCCTCCAAAAGCAACGCGAGACCAGAACATTTAGAACAAAGTCGTTAAAATAACTATACAGTATAGCATAGCATAGTGTAGGGCTGGGCGATAAAAAGGAACAACATGTGCGGCGGCAGAGGCACAGCGACTCATGCGGCAAAAGCAAGAGATAAACGTGAACGCCTGGAAGCACGTAATGCTACGGAGCCGTCATGGGACACAAGACACTTGAAAACAGACAAAACCAGGACTGAACCGGGACTAAACCAGGACTGACAATGGGGGACACAGTGAACACATGTCTCCAGCCCATGGATGTATTATATTAACTGGATAGGGTATTACTAGCTTGTAGCTGAATAACTCACGTGCTCAGGGGATTCTCGCGGTACTGCAGACTGAACCAGACTAAATTCACGTGGGCTACCCAGAAATTTTCCCCATAGAACTCAATGCAAATTAAAACAGCTCAACCTCAGCTGACAGAGAACCTACAGCTTTAATAAAGATCGGATTTTGTGGGGATTTTAGTGTCCCTTATCATCCTGAACTTTTTTTCTTCTTAAATCCTTCGGTTTTGTTTAAATCCACACTTTAGTGCCACAAACTCTGCTCCTCTGGCTCTCGCTCTAACTCCCGCTCTGATGAACTGCTCTGATTGGTCAGAGCGCGGCCGAGCCCCTCTGTGCACGTGCGTGAGACCCGGTGTGAGACCCACACACGCGTTTGGCGCAACGCATTATGGGAGATCATCCACTGCGCAGAACCGGGAGGACCAGACGATGCCCAAATACAGGCGAGTTTCCCATAGATCTTTGCGAGTTTCAGGCAACTTCCGCTAATCTTTCAGCCCCCATGCTGTCACAAAGCGCCACTGAGCACAACCATTCATTTGAATAGGGCGCCATCTTGGATCGCCGGGGCTTGCTCCAGCCTGAGTTCTCAGTGACCAAAAACAAGTGGAGCTAACGTGTGTTCGCCGACACGACAAATGTATTTATTTAGGTTTAAAAAATAAATAAAAATAAACAATAATTATTGATATTGACCGATATGAATGACTTATATTGTTATATAGTTTTCAGCAATATCGCCCAGCCATAGTATAGTGATTCTGTACAGTATAGAGTTATGTGACGGGACCCTCATGAGAGAATAATGATGTCTGTAATAAGATCCTGAATGTTCAAGGATCACCTTTTTGCTCTTCCCTCCTCAGTGTTTGCTTCAGGTCATGTACAGACTATAATACATTTCACATTTTCTGTAATGCCTAAAATATGAGCAGCATGAATCGTAATATATCACAGAATCAAATCGCAATGCTTGCTAAGGTTTATATCAGTGTTTCCCACACATAGACTAATCTGTGGCGCACCGCCACAGATTAGAGACCGCCCGCCACAAATTGCGTTTCGTATTATTATATATATTTTTTTTTGTTACGCTATTTAAAACATGCATCGTCTAGTGCCGCCGCAGCGGTCAATTTGACAGCGGGGAGGGGGGTTTAAAATGTGGCGGCCCTTCGTAACTCTCACTCAAGCTACGCGTCTCTCCCACATACAGAGACCTACACACACACACAGCCCCTCCCCTTCGTGCACACCGCGTGTCTCCGTCTCCATCAGCGATCATCGCTGTAAGCAGCTGTGTCTATTAATTTTGGTGTAGAGAAGACGGCTGGTGAAGTTCACTAAAGGTTGGTATCCCGTGATCTCGTAAATCACACATTAAAAAGTGCTGAATGTTCAGTGTCAATGTTGAATTTCCGTCCCGACTCCCTTAACAAGCGATGACGCTTTCTTAAAGTTAAAATCAGGTGCTCTGATAAAACATGCAAACTTTGCAACAAGTAGGTTTATACTGCGTTAACAGTATTTATAGTGTAATATAGTGTTTATACAGCGTGTGAATAATGTTATTTTTTGCAACAAGTTATTGTTATTTTTTGCAACAAGTAGGTTTATACAACGTTGACCAATTAACGATGTCATTGTTAATTTTTGCCGGCCGACCCCCCCCCGACGACCACCACACATTGCCTTCAAACCTGTGGGAAACACTGTTATATATTTTATATCTTTTATATATTTTGAATGCGCTGGGAAACGACTGCAAGTCCTAAGTAGCTCTGAATCAGTTGTTGTTTTTTGCTTTTGAATTTAAATTTGTATTCCTTTTTTTCTACCTGAGATGTTGGTGCAGCACATTGTTCATGGTTTTACACAGGTCCAGACAGGAGCGGAGAGGATTCATGGTCCGAACCAAGCGGATCAGGTGAAAATCCACTGGAGGAATGCTAACTTTATGAAACATGTCAATGAAGCATTTATCATTTTACTTAGGACCAGAGCAGAGAAAATGGTCCGAACCAAGCAGCTACTCCACCTGGTGACCTGTCCTACTCCACCTCTGCTGCTGTGACCTGTCCTGCTCCACCCAGAGGCTACTCCACCTCTGCTGCTGTGACCTGTCCTGCTCCACCCAGAGGCTTCTCCACCTCTGCTGCTGTGACCTGTCCTGCTCCACCCAGAGGCTACTCCACCTCTGCTGCTGTGACCTGTCCTGCTCCACCCAGAGGTTACTCCCCCTCTGCTGCTGTGACCCCTCCTGCTCCACCCAGAGACTACTCCACCTCTGCTGCTGTGACATGAAGGGCTGTTGCTGATCATTACTATTTTTAACTTTTTGGAAGTTTGGAAATATTACATTTTATTTTTGCTGCTACTGGACACCTGAATTTCTCCTATGGGGATCAATACAGTATCTATCTATATCTTCCTCTTTAGACTGTACTGTGATTATGAATGATTCTAATGCCTTGTGTGACGGTCTCTTGTTTCTATCCACCACAAGCACTTTGAGTTAACTTGTGTATGAACTGTGCTATCCAAATAAACCTGCCATTAGGTTAATTGAAAGTCGTCATCTAAAGCCTGGCCCTCTGTGTTTCTTTACTCCAGCCTCAGCCTCCTCAGACTGACTGACAGCTGACCTGAGCCCAGACAGAGCCTCCTTCCTCACCTCCTCTCCTTCCTCGCCTCCTCTCCTATCCTTCCTCACCTCCTCTCCTATCCTTGCTTAACTCCTCTCCTCTCCTCTCCTCTCCTTCCTCACCTCCTCTCCTCGCTCACCTCTCCTTCCTCACCTCCTCTCCTCGCTCACCTCTCCTTCCTCACCTCCTCTCCTTCCTCACCTCCTCTCTTCTCCTTCCTCGCCTCCTCTCCTCTCGTTCCTCACCTCCTCCTCTCCTCTCCTTCCTCACCTCTCCCCTCCTTCCTAGCCTCTCTCTCCACTCTCCGGACACAGTGACACAGAGTAGCCGCATATTCCCAGTGATGATGGAGCCAGTCAGTGGAACTAGCATCAGGCTAAATCAGTGCTAGCTCAGGTTAGCCTGGAGGTAAGTTCATCTCTCCCGGGTCGCCTTGCAGCCCACACCGGGGCTATGGTGGAGGTGCGAGCGGGTGTGTGTACTCGGAGATTAGTGGAGGATGTGGAAGCATTAGCATGACAGCACACAGCTGCAGACAGAGGGAGGAGGACAGCTCTGGACCTACCTTTAGCAGCGTCGCCATGTTCCCTCAACTTATCTCCTCGCGCCGCCTCGCGATAGTGGCCGCGGCGTGCTCAACACAAATAAGACTTAAAGACATGTACAGCATTGTTTACCATGTTGCATGTTGCAGGTGGCATGACTCCGCGTGTGTACGTTTTGGTCTGGTATATGTAGCTTATACATGTAATTATGTTTGTGAAACGATATCGGTCCTCGTCTAACTCCGCTCAGAGCAGGTGATAGTTACCATAGCAACGCACTGTTTACTCACATCAGCATTTAGTTTAGCTGTATATCCTTTAAATTAACCAGTTTTACCATGTGCTAAAGATAAAACCGTCAACATGACTGCTCAGGGAGTTCTAGTAGTTTCAGCTCTGGGAGTCCTGGTGTTAAAAGTATTATTATTGTTAGTTTTATGGAGGACATATATCGTGTAAATATGTATTATTATTAAATCGGTGTTGTGTTGCATTTGTGTGTTTTCATTTCTTTCTTACTTTCTTAATTTATTATTCTATACTTTTATTCTTATGCTCTGCTTTATGGCAACGTGAGGCAAGTTTATTTGTACAGCAGAGTTCATACACGAGAAAAGATAATATCAGATGAAAGTTTATAGATCTCACAGTGGATAAATTGTTTCATTAGGCTTCCATTGAAATCACCTCAAAAGTGTGCAAAAAGACAGAAAATGTAAACACGTGAAGCTGTTTATATTTTTATATTCTGACAGTTCTGTCATACAATCGTTTGACCAAAATTCCTCTTTGATTCTCTTTGCTAGTTCGGTTGCACCAACACGCCGCTCATCCAATCAGCTTGCAGGGGGCAGAACTCTGACAGCCCTGGGATAGGCTGCTCTGCTCCGTGAGTGGGGAGAGCACATGGATGTCTATATTATGGGCAGATAAACACTTCCACGCGGTCACAATGACATAAAGAAGGACACGTAAGTGAATACACCTTTTAATTACTGTGTAATATTTGCTTAGTGATGATTTCCGCCGCATACAGACTGTGTAGATGTAACCCTCATTCACTGTGTCTTATGTGAGTGCAGGGGGGTAGCACCAAATTCTGGGCCCCGGGTACAAACAGTCTCAATGGGCCCCCACTACACGTTTCTTATATATATATATATATATGGTATTGCCTGTTTTTGAACTACCATCACTGGCTAGTAGATGAACAATTCTTTTCCTTTGTTAATCGGTGAGATTCTCTGGCCATAATCCTGGGTCCTCTGACAATCCCTCATCATTATTACTCTGTCTCTTGGTGTCGTCTCTTTCCTCCTCAATCCTCTCCACATTCTCATCACTTTCGCTTTCATCACTTAATTCAGTTTCTACATCCTCTTCTAATTCTGCCTCTGCCTCTGCTACATGGACACAATACAGACAAAAATGATATAGAATTAGTGTATACAGTAAAACTTATAAAGTAATAACTTACTAACTTATTGAAAACAGTTCAATCAGTGACTGATAAATGCTCACCATGCCTCACTGTCAAACCCTCACTACTAGTGCCTTCATCTGGCCATGATGCTTCTCTTCCTGAAACTGAAATAAAGTAGCTTTAATGGGTTGCAAACAAATACTATATTCCATCATTACAGTGTATAGCTATTACGTATATGCCTGCATGCCTTTAAGTGATATGTGTATATGGCTATTCATATAAAATATATAGTATATCTTATCTTATTTGTATGGACCATGAGTAGGTAAGTTACTTATTTGTTATTGTACAAACATACAACAAAATACTTTTTATGGTTCATTATTATCCACCAATTTAGACTTTGTGGCAAAATTCAATCGATGCAATCTTTTTTGAAATAAGCCTATTCCATTTTCAACTAAACACCTGTGCCTAGCCTTACTCCGCCCACATGAACATTTGAAATTTTTCTGTAAAAATGGCACCAGTGGAGAAGAAGAGGGGCTTACAGTTGGGCATGGTCTGGGCTGTGATTGTCAGTTGTCATTTCTGGCTTAAAAGCAATAGTTTACACACCAGAAAGTCTAATTTCACCCTTGTTTACACACTAAGATAATTGTAGAGCTAGAAACCTTTACCATTAGACTTATTTACATTATTTTGACCACTAGATGTCACCAGAAAACTCCAAATCGGTGCGGGGGCGTGTGATTTGTATGCTTATAACCAGATGATCCAATGCAGAGGCCAGTGAGTGACCCGTGAATTATGACTGCAAGACTCACGGACGGACAGATTATGACAATAGTGGGAATATAGGGTACAGGGTTGTACATGAAAATAACTCTTTGCTGCCTGTCTTTGAAGGAGAAGTGGACAGCAGTGTGTGTGAGCTCCCTTTACAGCTGCGCGTCTGTGTGTGTCACTCTGGATAACGTTTTTTTTTTTTTACCACGTACACGGCACACTGTTAGCTCTCCGTGAGTTTAGAATACAGAAACAAATGTCTCTGGGTTTTCTCCTGATGTGGCCTTACTCACCTCTCGTGTGGAAGAACTGAGTAAGCAATTGCTTGCCCTCATTACACTTTTTCTCCCTGTCCTGTCTTTCTTTTCTTTTCTGAAATCCTGATTTTCCTTTCTTTGGAAAAGACATTTCTATTTTTCCCGCTTCTGCCGCTGCTTGTCAAACAAGTCAACTCGCTGCAGCGGCAGCAACACAGCAACAAGCGCACATGTGGGTTGTACCATTTGATCTTTTGTAAGGGGGGGGCAGGGCCCTGATATAGCATACACATTTGTTTTTAGAGGAAAACTGAGGTTAAAACGTTGGTTATTTTTATACAGGGCACCTTTCATTCAAATTGTAATAATATGAATATACCACAATGCCTAATACATATAAATATAAAGACACACTTTAGAGGGCCCCTCCTCGCCTTGGGCCCTGGGTACTCGGTACCCTTTACCCCCCCAGTCCGACGCCCATGTGTGAGTGGTCCCAACACACACAGCTTCTGGACTCTGCGTTGTGTTGTTTATGAGTGATAGGTGTGGTAGTGAGAGAAGGACCAGAGCAGACACAGCAGTTCGATTTTGATAGTGGAAGTGCAGTTTTACTTTGAAGTTCTTGAAAGAAGTTGCTTGGCTTATGGGACCTTACAACGTAAAGGCAAAAAGAAAATAGCGGATTAATAACAATACAATCATATTGTCGCTAGGTTAAAGACCTTATGCCGGGTTTGATTTATTTAGAAATACAGTTTTAATACCATTTTATATTAGAAGAGAACTACTAAAGGTTTCAAAATCAGTTGTTTTTTTTGTCTGATCCCCCCAAATCGAAATAACCCCATAGCAACGCCCTTAGAGACGAAAAAACTTCACAGCCCTTGGTGACGTCAGAGTGGGTACTTTCAACGCTGTAAGTTGTTTACAATTTGGTATTTGTTCTTTTTTCGCGGATATTCAAGAGGACAAGGCCGTGTACAGCTAGTCTGACATACAGTGCCTTGCGAAAGTATTCGGCCCCCTTGAACCTTTCAACATTTTGCCACATTTCAGGCTTCAAACATAAAGATATAAAGATATTTTTTTTTGTCAAGAATCAACAACAAGTGGGACACAATCGTGAAGTGGAACGAAATTTATTGGATAATTTAAACTTTTTTAACAAATTAAAAACTGAAAAGTGGGGCGTGCAATATTATTCGGCCCCCTTGCGCTAATACTTTGTAGCGCCACCTTTTGCTGCAATTACAGCTGCAAGTCGCTTGGGGTATGTCTCTATCAGTTTTGCACATTGAGAGACTGGAATTCTTTCCCATTCTTCCTTGCAAAACAGCTCGAGCTCAGTGAGGTTGGATGGAGAGCGTTTGTGAACAGCACTCTTCAGCTCTTTCCACAGATTCTCGATTGGATTCAGGTCTGAACTTTGACTTTGCCATTCTAACACCTGAATACGTCTATTTGTGAACCATTCCATTGTAGATTTGGCTTTATGTTTTGGATCATTGTCCTGTTGGAAGATAAATCTCCGTCCCAGTCTCAGGTCTTTTGCAGACTCCAACAGGTTTTCTTCCAGAATGGTCCTGTATTTGGCTCCATCCATCTTCCCATCAATTTTAGCCATCTTCCCTGTCCCTGCTGAAGAAAAGCAGGCCCAAACCATGATGCTGCCACCACCATGTTTGACAGTGGGGATGGTGTGTTCAGGGTGATGAGCTGTGTTGCTTTTATGCCAAACATATCGTTTTGCATTGTGGCCAAAAAGTTCGACCAGAGCGTTTCATCTGACCAGAGCACCTTCTTCCACATGTTTGGTGTGTCTCCCAGGTGGCTTGTGGCAAACTTTAAACGAGACTTTTTATGGATATCTTTGAGAAATGGCTTTCTTCTTGCCACTCTTCCAAATAGGCCAGATTTGTGCAGTGCACAACTGATTGTTGTCCTATGGACAGACTCTCCCACCTCAGCTGTAGTTATCTGCAGTTCATCCAGAGTGATCATGGGCCTCTTGGCTGCATCTCTGATCAGTCTTCTCCTTGTTTGAGATGAAAGTTTGGAGGGACGGCCGGGTCTTGGTAGATTTGCAGTGGTCTGATTAGGGCTGGGCGATATGGCTGAAAACTATATCACGATATAAGTCATTCATATCAGTCAATAACGATATATATTGAGGTTTTTTTTTTTTTACCTAAATAAATATATTTGTTGTGTGGGCTAACCAACCTTAGCAGCCTTGTTCACAGTCACGGGGCAATGAGGCTGGAGGAATATGTTCACACTGTGTCCCTCGTTGTTAGTCCTGGTTTAATCCTGGTTTTTTATTCCTGGTTTAGCTCCTGGTTTAGCTGTTTGAGGGTCTTGTGTCCCCGTGACCGCTCCGTGCGGCTCTCTGTGCCGCACATGCTTCCCGAGGAAAAAGTGAATCTCTTGCTTTCGCCGAATACATCGGGTCTGTCCACTGCCTCTGCCGCCGCACATGTTATTCCGCGCACGTACGTGCATAATCATTGACACGGCATTGAAACACGAGCTATAGATCCATGGACGCTACGCATGGTGCGGT